GAAACTTAATAAGAAATAATTCTGATAGAACCCAACTCATCCAGAGAACAAGGAAACTTGTTTTATCAAATTAGCATAACTTTGACACCAAAATCTGACTGAGAACTTATAAAATAGGAAGAGAACAGGTCAGTCTCTCCCTCTCCCATCAACACTTGCAAAAATACTAAACAAAATCGTAGCAAATTAAATCTAGTGATACATGAAAAGGATATGTATGACAAGTTACTAAGTTTCAGTGATTTCAAAATGCAAGGTTGGTTTAACTTAATTTGACTAAATAATGTATTCACCATGTCCCAGTAGATGGGAAATTCTGTTTTTACCAAAACAACAACAACAACACATATTCTTAATAGTGAAGTGTCAACCCAAGTAGATCAGTAATTAAATGTAAAAAGTGAACAAAAACAAAAAAACAAACTGAGACGTAAGGTTGTAAAAATCTTTCTCTTTGAGATGGGGAACAAGATAAGGATGCCCATTCTCACCACTGCTATTCAGTATCCTGTGTCCTAGATATTGTGGCGAGGGAGGTAAGGGTGGGTGGGCAGGGAAGGAAGGGAAGGGGGAGAGGTAAAAAGGGAAAAAGAAAAAGAAGGGGAAGCAGTAGGATTGAAGCCTGGGCCTGGCCTCTTGCAGCTAAATCTGGATTTCCAGGGGTAGGACCCAACCTGCAGCCCAATTTAAGAGCCAGTGCCCTGACCACTTTTTGTAAATATATGTAAGGAAGTGTCATGGTGGTGTCACAATCACTTTATTTTTCATTTGAAGAAAATGCTATTTATTTCTAAACAAGGTCTTCCAAAGAAAATATGTGCTTACTTGAGTTGATACCAACTTGAGGTTGGTGTTTTTCTGTTATCTACACCAATATTAGCCATTTTGTAAATGGAAATAAATACATCATGCATTCCACTTGGCTCAAAGCTGAATAATTGTTCTAATCAATATAATTTCATATACTGTTACATAAAAAGTAGTATTTCTTTTAACATTACTATTTCTTGTTAAAAATTTAGACAAAGCAAGATAACTCTTCTTTGACTCAGAAGCTCTACCTATAAAATTATTGGGCTAAATTGCAGTTATTTCCAAGGAATGCATTTGCTAAACCTTTTTCTATTTTGAAGTAGAAATTATTGTGGCCTTTTGGTAGCACTATAATTTTGTGGTTTTGCCTCAATGTCGAATAGTATTGAAACAGTTACTGTTTTGAAAAGTGATAAAGATTGGAAAGGAAGAAATATTACTATCACTATTTGCTGATAACATGATTATATACATAGAGATTTAAATTTACAGGCAAATTAGAATTAGTACGTTAGTGAAGTAAGTACATACAGACTGCAGTTATCTTTCTGTATACCAGCAAAAATCAGAAAATAAGGAATATTGAAAAAATCAATTTATTTTAACACAAACATTCCAAACATCAGTGTGTGAATCTAACAAAAAATATGTAAGATCTGTATATCAAAAACTGTAAAACATTGAGAGAAATTTTAAAAAGAAATGAGTAGGAAGATACATATCATATTCATGGACTGGAAGATTCAACATTATAAACACTTCTTCCCAGATAGATCCATAGTTTCTAACAATTTCTTAAATGATTATCAACAAGCTGATTATATACTCTTTATAGAAATGCAAAGACCAGTAAAAACCAAGGCAGGCTGTAGGGAAAGGGTATCATTCTCCTGGATGACTCATATAAACCTGGAGTCACAGAGACAGTCTGGTCCTAGAACAAGGATAGAGAAGTTGAGCAATGTGGTCAAGACAGCTCAGAAGCAGGCCCACATCTTTGGACACGTGGTTGGCAAGAAAGGTCTGATTGCCGAACAGTGGAGATAGGATGGTCTTCTCAACAAAAGGAGTTGGGACAGTAGGCTGTCCATACGGGGAAGTGATCTTTGATTGTACCCTCATATCATACACAAAACTCAGTAACAAGTGGCTTGGGGGAATCTCAATGTAAAAGGGAAAACAATAAATCACCTAGAAGTAATAAGAGGCAGGATTATGGCCCCCATGTAGAACAGACATGTTAAAGTTCAACAAAATATGCAAATAGGAAGACTGGCTAAAGATTGGTTAAATTTGACTGTATTAAAATCAAGAACTATTGTTCATCAGAAGACACCGCTAATTGAGCACATAGGCAAGCCACACAGCGAGAGATGTCTGCAGTACAGATAACCCTGAAATAATTCTCTACCCAGCATCCATGAAGAACCACAAATTAAAAAGAAAAGAATGACAACTCTGTAGAAAAGCAGGCAAGCGCGGTGGCTCACGCCTGTAATCCCTGCACTTTGGGAGGCCGAGGTGGGTGGATCACGAGGTCAAGAGATCGAGACCATCCTGGTCAACACGGTGAAACCCCATCTCTACTAAAACTACAAAAAATTAGCTGGGCATGGTGGCACGTGCCTGTAATCCCAGCTACTCTGGAGGCTGAGGCAGGAGAATTGCCTGAACCCAGGAGGCGGAGGTTGCGGTGAGCCGAGATCGGGCCATTGCACTCCAGCCTGGGTAACAAGAGTGAAACTCCGTCTCAAAAAAAAAAAAAAGAAAAGAAAAGCAGGCAAGAGACTTGAACAGGTGTGTCCTAAAAGAAGATACCCAGATGGCCAGTGAACACAGGAGAAGGTACTCGATTGAATTAGGTTTTATCAGGGAAATGCAAATCAAAACCACACCTGTTGAGATGGCTATTCTCAAAAACAAAAGACAGCAAGTATTGGCCAGGGTGTGGGGAGAGGGGACCCTTGTGCAGCCTGGTGCGAATGTAAATTAGTACAGCCATTATGGAGAACAATGTCGAGGTTCCTCAAAACATTATAAAAGAACAACCATATGATCCGGCAATCCCACTGCTGGGTATATATTCAAAAGAATTGAAAAGAAGGTTTGGAAGAAGCATCTGCTCTTCTGTGTTCATTGCGGCATTGCTCACAATAGCCAAGATACGGAAACAACCTAAGTGTCTGTTGACAGATGAATGGATAAGTGATATATATGCACAATGGGGTACTATTTAACCACAGAAACAAGGGAACTCTACATCTGCGACGACATGGATGAACCTGCAGGACATTATACTATAAGAAGTAAGCCAGGCACAGAAAGACGATTCATTCCTCTGATAACTCGGTATCCAAAACAGTCAAAGTCATAGAAGCAGAGCGCAGAATGGAGGTTGCCAGCGGCTGGAGGGAGAGGGAACGGAGATACCGTTGAGTGGGCATAAAGTTTCAGTTGTATAAGCTGAGTAAGCTCTAGAGCATTGCCCCACATCATGGTGCCTGTAGTAAACAATAGAGAACCGTGCTTTTAAAAATGTGTTAAGACAGCAGATCTCATCTTAAGTGTTTTCTCCACCATTAAAAACAATAACAAACCACAGTGAGACGCCATCACACTGCCCTGGGGTGCTCAGAGGCTGCTGATGGTGGGGGCATTGGCTCCCGCTTGGGGAAGGAGCTCAGCACCCCTACATAAGGATAAAGGGGATCAGTGACCAGCAGCTCCCCACTGGCATGTGCCTGGTGGGACAGGGCCTATACACACTGTGGCTCAGTGTTAGCTGTGGTCCCACTCGGCCACAGCCCAGCAAGCACCAGCAGAATGGATGTGTGCATCGTGGTGCAGTTGTGTAAACACAACAACAAGGACCCATGTCACAAACACGGGTGAGAGAGGCCAGGAACCACAGAATAGAGTACCATTCCATTGAGAGAACATGCAAAACTGAACCACGGTGTTCAGAGAGGCAAACGGTAAGGTCGTAAAGAAGAGCAGTGGGGGAAATGCTTGTCAAATTAGTTTACCTTTGTTGGGCCGGACAGAGGATGGGGGCCAAGGGAGTCTGGGGTCAGAGGGCAGGGCATGAGGGTCCTAGTAATCTCCCCATTTTCTCCTTTTACTTTTTAAACAGTTTTTTGTGTGCATTTTCTTTGTGTTTTTAAAAAAGACAAAGGGGGCCGGGCGTGGTGGCTCACGCCTGTAATCCCAACACTCAAGCGGATTGCTTGAGCCTTGGAGTTCGAGACCAGCTTGGGCAACATGGTGAAACCCAATCTCATACAACAAATACAAAAATTACCCAGCTGTGGTCCCAGCTACTAGGGAGGCTGTGGTGGGAGGATGGCTTGAGCCTGGGAGGCAGAGGTCGCAGTGAGCGGAGACTGTACCACTGCACTCCAGCGTGGGTGACAGAGCCAGACCCAAACTCCAAAAAGAAGAAAAGGCTGGTGGTGGGGGTTGGGGGGCTGGGTTGCATTTTCAAGTAAAAAAAACCGGGCTGCAAGGCCAAGTAAGTTTGAGGAACACTGTCCTGTCACCTCTCAGATGCCCACGGTCCCTGTGAGCCCGGTGGAGGCTCCATGAGCTCCTGCACAAGGCATGTGAGACTTGGTCACGCGCTGGGGTTCTGGATTCCCCCCGCAGGGTCACTGGCCAGCTCTGGCTGTGCTTCTGACCCTCCAAAGACGGGGGTTCTGAAGGTTCCAGGCTCCTGCTCACTGCTGGGCATGGAAATGTGTACAGCTCACTACTTAAACTCTTTAATTTTTAAATTTCATTGGAAAACTTTTGTCCAGTGCAAGACAGACAACAGCAGTATCTTTCTGGAGCCGTCTGTAAGGGTGAGGGTATGGACAGACAGATGACAGACAGGTAACAGCCACAGCTGATGGTACCTGCTACAGAAGACACAGAAGGAAGGATGGTGATGTTTCAGCTGCAGGGGACACGGGGAACCTAGAGTTGTGAAGCTGGTGGCTCAGAGACCTGTGGGAGGCATTCCAGGAAGCAGCAGCCAGGGCTGGGCTGAGCTGCAGGTAGGCAGGACCGTGGTGTGTCAGGAAAGAGAGAAAACCAGCACACTGGGCCCATGGCCAGGCCGTGTAAGGCATCTTTCTATCAGGGAAGAGACAGGTAGATAGGACCAGTGTAGCCTGGTGCAAAGGCATTTTCCCCATTTCTTCTAGATCCAGCACCCTATAAAGACCAGCTGTCCTCGAAGGAACAACCTGGCTTTCTAGCCAGTCAGCAGCTTCTGAGCCAGACGGGCCCCAGCAACCCTCCTGCGGGGGTCCCAGCCCCTTTGGCCCCCTTCTCCCCTCCTGTGACTGCTCTACCCCAAGATGGAGCAGCTCCAGCCACCAGCACCATGCCAGAGCCAACGTCAGGAACTGCCATCCAGGCAGGGGGTGCAGGGACCCCTCAGGGGCCCACCAGTGAGCTCGAGACCTCCCAGCCGCTAGTGGAGACTCACGAGGCCCCACTTGCTGTGCAGCCCCTCGTGGTGAGCCTAGGACCTTGTGCTCCAGCTCCAGAGGCCGCCTCAACCAGGGAGGCCAGTGCCCCAGGGGAGCCCCCGCCAGCTCCTGCACCTGAGCCCAGCCCCCACAGTGGGGCCCCACAGCCCTCCTTGGGTCAACCTGCTCCCCTGCTTCCTGCCGCAGTGGGGGCCATCAGTCTGGCCACCACCCAGCTCCCAAGCCCACCCCTAGGGCCCACCGTCCCCCCACAGCCGCCCTCGGCCCTGGAGTCAGATGGGGAAGGGCCGCCCCCCAGGGTGGGCTTTGTGGACAGCACCATCAAGAGCCTGGATGAGAAGCTGCGGACTCTGCTCTACCAGGAGCACGTGCCCACGTCCTCAGCCTCAGCTGGGACCCCTGTGGAGGTGGGCGACAGAGACTTCACCCTGGAGCCCCTGAGAGGGGACCAGCCCCGCTCGGAGGTCTGCGGGGGGGACCTGGCCCTGCCCTCAGCGCCTAACGAGGCAGTCACAGGGCGTGCCCAGCCACCCCAGCCCTTGGTGAGTAGCTGCCTTGTCCCAGAAACACTGCCCTGGGTCAGGGGCCGGGGCCCAGGCCCGGACTCGGGGGTGGCAGGCATCCCAGCTATGCAGAGCCGCCCGCACTCAGGGCCCATCCCTCTCTTGGTGACCCACCCACGTGTGTCTGATTCACCCGTGCACGTTTTGCAACAAGTGGCCCCTGTTTGGGGTCGTGCTTGTGCAACGTCAGGTGACACAGCCCCATCTGTGCACACAGAGAGGCTGGGGCAGCCCAGGGGCAGCCTGAGACGAGGGCAGTGGATTTGCAGATAAAACTGCTGAGATGTTGACATGTGAGTCTCATGGCTCTTCTCTTTTTGTGTTTCTTTCTCCAGGTGGAGAAGTCAGAACTGATCCCTACTCAAGGGGCCGTGATGGAGCGGGGCAGGTCTTCATCAGTGACAGGTAACAGCTCGCTTCTCGACCCTCCATTCGCAAGGCTTCCCGGCTTTCTTGCCCCAGAACTTTCTGCATCTGTACCCTCATCTTTTATCTTTTAAGTGATAAAAGCATTTCTTAAAGATTCTTTTATCTGCAAGGGTCCTTTAGCATCTAGGGTAGAGCCCAGACACAGCAGGAGCCCATCATGACTTAATTCAAGCTTGTCCAATGTGTGGCCCATGAGCTGCATGTGGCCCAGGACGGCTTTGAATGGGCCCAACACAAATTGGTAAGCTTCTTAGGAGATTTTTCTTTTTCTTTTTTTGATTTCTTTTGAAGCTCATCAGTTATCATTAGTGTATTTTATGTGTGGTCCAAAACAATTCTTCGTCTTCCAGTGTGGCCCAGGGAAGCCAAAAGATTAGACACCCCTGACTTAATTAAGCCTACTGAGTTCTAGAAGGAACCACATGCTCCCACTCCAGGGAGAGGAAGTCCTCTCTGGAAATGGATAAGGCCCCAGTGGTGGATGCTGGGATGTTGCAGGGACTACGTCACAGCTCCCAGACTCTCCAGTAGCTGTGGGTCTGCACACGTTCTGGTGGGCCCATCCTAGCGCCTGCTCTTCTTCAGCAAGTGACGAGATGCCCACAGAAACGCAGGCTGGCTTCAGCTAAAGCAGGGCAGTGTGGTGGGGGGACGCTGTGACTGCTGGGAGTGCCAGAGGCCGGGGCAACCTGAAGACCTGGCTTGGGGCTTTCTCTTGTGGCTCCTGGCTGCCACCGCATCTCTGTGGAAACACCTTTGCTTCGCTTCTCGTTTCATTATCTGTGTGTCTCACTCCCCCTTCTAAGAGAGCTAAATGGATCTGGTGAGGTCTGAGGTTCCTTCTCAGCTCAGGGTTTCTTAGGGGATGGGCACAATATGAATCAGAATTCCTCTGAGCCTCCTAACAGAAACCTCAGTGCACATCAGCCACAGACGGGAACCCGAAGTCCCAGGCCACGTTTATTTCTAGACACCAGACTTTAAGAGGGGTTGGGGCATCTGGCACTGGGGTCGAAAGCTGTGCATGCGAAGAAATGGTGATGTTTAGCCCGAGGAAGATGAGGGATGGAGCAGTAGAGTGTCTTTGTAAACGGGTGGAAACGAGAGGCCATGTTGGAGCGCCGGGCCTGGCCGTGCTGGGCTGCCTGTGGCGCCCCGTGGATTCTGACCTCGTGCCGTGAGATGTGTCCCATGGACGCCTTTGGCAGATGAACAAACTGAGCTTCAGTAACTTGCAAATGTTACAGTTACTCTTTCCAGAGTGCGGAACTCACGGGGAAAGCTCCAAGGGGACAAATTCTAGTTTGGAAAAAATGACCTTTCCTGGCAGTCAGAGCCATTTAGAAGTAGAGAGAGTGCATTTGACAGTGAGCCTCCTCTCCCTGGAGATGGGCATGGGATGTGAGGAGGGGAGTCAAATGTTGCCACAGGTTGGGGTCACGTGACTGGGACTGGACTGCGTCACCTTGAGAATCTGATTCAGTATTGTTCCCTTGTGAGTTTCCACATGGGGTGTGCAAAGGAGATGTGTACGTGTATGGGCAGCCCCAGCCTCCCTAGAGCCTCCGTCCACCCCTGCCACCATCCCCGTGGCATATAGGTCAGGCTCATGCCCCAGCCTGCTCACGAGTTTCCTTTGCCACGTGAGGGTCTCGGCTCAGGCGAGGCCCCCACATCAACTTGCTTGACTTCTCTGGCTGGCTCTTCATGGCCACCATGGGAAAGCGGATGAGAAATAGCTCCGTAGACAGAGAGCTGCAGGTGCAGTGGGCGAAAGTTTTCGAGACACCGTGGGAGCGGGGCTGGAATCCGGCCCCACTCATCTGCGTGGTGAGACCCTCTCATATCAGACAGTGGGGTGAGACAGCAAATATTCAAGTGCACAGGTGCACAGAGGGCCTGGCTGCATGAGGGTGCCCAGGACTGATGCCTCTTCCCATGCCCAGGTTTGTCGGGCATCTGTCATGGAGTGCCGTGGGGCCGAGACATCATGATGTATTTTCAGTTTCCAAAACTGCTCTAAGCATACACAGCTGGCTCCTCCCAGTGCCCGCTCCCATTGTCCTGCCTGGCTGGCGGCATTCCCGTGGGATCATGTTGGGTTACTTTGGGTCAGCGGTGAGCCATCTCTGCCTCTTCCTTCTCCTTCAGCCCCAGTTCCCACAGCAGAGTCGTCTCCCGGGAGCATGCTGGGCTACGACAGAGATGGAGGGCAGTTGGTCTCAGACTCCCGTGTGGTGCCCAGTGCCCCCCAGGTAAGGGCGACTTGACGACCCCCTGGCTGGTTGGCAGGGTTTACTCTGTGCTGACGTTCACTTGAAACCTCTTCATCTCTGCTTGTTTCCCAAGGATGTACCTGCTTTTGTGAGATCTGCACGCGTGGAGCCCACAGACAGGGATGGTGGAGTCACTGGAGAAAGTTCAGCAGAGCCCCCACAGAGTGCCATGAGCATTTCCACACCGGGTGGCCAGGCCAGCCACCCCCAGGCACTCGGCGCTCGAGCTTCGGGGTCCCCTCGGAAACATCCAGAGCAGCAGGATGGCAGCTCACCAGCCAAGACTGTGGGCCGTTTCTCGGTGGTCAGCACGCAGGACGAGTGGACCCTGGCCTCCCCCCACAGCCTGAGGTACTCCGCCCCACCTGACGTCTACCTCGACGAGGCCCCCTCCAGCCCCGACGTGAAGCTGGCGGTGCGGAGGGCACAGACAGCCTCCTCCATCGAAGTCGGCGTGGGCGAGCCTGTGTCCAGCGACTCTGGGGATGAGTGCCCTCGGGCAAGGCCCCCGGTGCAGAAGCAGGCATCCCTGCCCGGGAGCGGCAGCATGGCTGGCGACTTCGTGAAGAAGGCCACCGCCTTCCTGCAGAGGCCTTCTCGGGCTGGCTCGATCGGCCCCGAGATGCCCAGCAGGGTGGGCGTGAAGGTCCCCACCATCAGCGTGACCTCCTTCCACTCGCAGTCATCCTACATCAGCAGTGACAACGACTCAGAGCTGGAGGACGCTGACATAAAGAAGGAGCTGCAGAGTCTGCGGGAGAAGTAGGTCCCGAGGGCAGGAAGCACCCCCTGCCCAGGCTGCGGCACCTCTTCCCTGTTGGGAGGGAAGCCTGGTGCCGGGGCTGAAGTCCTGGCCAAGCAGCGCCCACTTGGAGCTGCTAAGCAGGGCGACAGGGCAATGATGAAGGCTTTTTTTTTTTTTTAAGAGAGTGAGAGAGGAGAGTCTAGCTCTGTCACCCAGGCTGGAGTGCAGTGGTGTGATCTTAGCTCACTGCAATCTCTGCCTCCTAGGTTTAAGCGATTCTCCTGCCCCAGCCTCGGGAGTAACTAAGACCACAGGCACCTGCCACCTAATTGGCCGGGCTAATTTTTGTATTTTTAGTCGAGACAGGGTTTCGCCATGTTGGCCAGCCTGGTCTCACATTCCCGACCTCAAATGATCCACCCGCCTCAGCCTCCCAAAGTGCCGGGATTTCAGATGTGAGCCACCAGGCCCAGCCTCCCCGTGGCTTTGAGTAGAGAGTCTCCCACTCAGTCCTCCAGGCTGGGCCAAAAACCACCCTGCTGTCTTTCTGGCTTCTGGCTTCGCTGGGGGCCATGCCGCCTCCTGCTGCCCTTGGGGGTATGTCTCAGGGCATCACTGAGCCACATCTTCCTCACTGTCTGCCTCTCATCTTTCTTCCTCTGTCTCTTCCCTCTTTCTTCCTCTGTCCTCCTCTCTCTCCCCCTCACCCCTTTCACTTCCTCTCTCCCTGTCTCACTCCCCACCCCGGTCTCTCTGTCTCTGCCACTCTCTTCTGTCTCTCCTTTGTCTCTGCCTCCCCCATCCCATCTTCCTCTTCCTCCTTGCTGCTTTCCCTCATCCAGCAAATACTTACTCTGTCCTGCTGCGGCCTTCGGGATGGGAGGGCTGACACCCATTCAGCAGTGCCTGAAGGCACGTTGTAAGCTGGGGCCTGTTGGAAGTCACAGGCCTGTGTGGGAAGAGCCACGCACGTCTCCTTTCTCTCCGGTCAGCCCTCTCTGTGCACCACGTACACAGAGGGTAAGAGAGTGTCTGCCCAGACTGGTGGCGTGGTCATTGCCATGCATTAAGGGAGGTTATAGTGAGTGTCTGTGTGTTTGTGCAGACCTGAGGAGAGGGAACTGGAGCTGCTGGGAGAGGCAGGAAGGCAGGGATGGGTGGAATCACATGGCCCAATGGATCCTTGGTGGAGGCCAGAGAGTGGATAAGGCCAAGGTGGGCATGACCTAGAATCTTTTGGGATAGAGGGCAAGCAGATCCTGGGCACGTTTTTTCAGCAGGAATGTCACTCGGTGAGCCAGCGGTCAGCAGGCACAAAGGGGAGCTGAGATGTGGCCAGACCACGGCCCAGCTGCGGCTGCTACAAAGAGACACTTGCGGGGGGCAGGCAGGCGTGGGTGTAAGAACACTGCGGAGAGGAGCTGCTGTAGGCTCTGAGAGCCTGTGTCCTGGGTGACGGGCCAGGAGCCAGGGGCAGAGGGCGGAGACTTGAAATGGCAGAAGTGGTCGGGAGCCAGGGGCAGGTGGGGCCTAGGGAAAGGGCAGGGAGAGGACCAGAAGCACCTCAAAGGAAAGAGTTCAGGGAGCCTAACAAAGGGAAGGTGGACCCTGGGAGGGCCATGGAGTCCAGGGGGAAGGAGGGGACCATTTAAGAGAGGGTGGGGAAGATCTTCAGCCTCAACTGGGAATTGAGGTGACTGGACGTCCGATTGGCAGTAGCCAGCGGGTCCCCAATCTTGCTTTCATTTGAACCCCCTGAATACCAAGGTGCCTGTGCCTCACTGCAGTGTTTCTGCCATGAGCGCTGGAGTTTCCTAGGGCTCCAGGAGCCCTGTGCTGGGCCCAGCCTGCACTTTCAGACGTGCCAGGCCTTCTGGCTCTGTGGCAAGCAGCCAGGGGCAGCTCGGAGTGGGCCAGGGAACCCCCAGTGTGGGAGCCACATTGCAGTCAGGGACTGCAGGAGATGGGCCATGTAGGTTTGGCCTTGGAGCAGAGCTCCAGCCTGAGGTCCTGGGTAAGATGCTCCCCTGCCCACAGCCGCTCCCCAACCCTGGGGCAGGCAGTGCTCTCTTGAAATAGTACTCCCTTCCGGAAGATCATCCGGTGCTGTGCCTCCCTGGTGTTTGTAGGAGAAAGCCACTCAGAGTTATTTCTTTATTTAGAGACAGAGTCTCCCTCTGTCACCCAGGCTAGAGGGTAGTGGCGCATTCTTGGCTCACTGCAACCTCCACCTCCCAGGTTCAAGTGCTTCTCCCACCTCATCCTCCTGGGTAGCTGGGATTACAGGCGCCCACCACCACGCCTGGCTAACTTTTTTATTTTTAGTAGAGACGGAGTTTCACCATGTTGGTCGGGCTGGTTTCAAACTCCTGACCTCATGATCTGCCTGCCATAGCTTCCAAACAGAGTTCTATTTATTTTTTAGTAGCTAGGGAAAGTCATTAAAAAAAAAAAAAAAAGCCTATTTGGCAGGTGTTGAAGATTCAGGAGTAAAATCAGAATTTGCTTCATTTCTCACCTTGTTTTGCTTACCATCAAAGGCGGAAGGGGGCACTTGGGGTGAAGTCGAGGATTATAGGCCTCCAGCTAGGACTTCAGCCTTGCAGAAGCTCAGAGGACTGTGATGCAGCAGGGAGGCCCAGCAGAGAGCCACGGCTCCTTCCCTCCTCATCCTCCCCTCACCTTCCTCCCCTCCTCATCCTCCCCTCTCCATCCTCCCCTCCTCATCCTCCCCTCTCCATCCTCCCCTCCTCATCCTCCCCTCTCCATCCTCCCCTCCTCATCCTCCCCTCCTCATCCTCCCCTCACCTTCCTCCCCTCTCCATCCTCCCCCCTCATCCTCCCCTCCTCATCCTCCCCTC